AAAAAAAAAAAAAAAAAAAAAAAAGAGCAAGAAGGAGCTTGATGGTTGGGAGAGCAAAGAGAAGGCAAGTGGTGAGGAATGTTGTGAGCTAGAGGAAGGAAGGTACAAGGTATGATTGGAGGAGTAAGAAGGGGATCAGATGAGGTTGGGCTTTACAGGCCCTGGAAAAAATAGTGTAAATTTTACTTTAAGTGTAATGAAAAGCCATTTGGAGTTTTGGCAAGGAAATGTTATGAACTGGGTTGTTTTATACAGGTCACTCTGGGTGTTTCAGGGAGACATAAGGAAGGATGGGAGAGAAAAATGGGAGAGCATTAAAAATGTGGGTAGTGAGAAAAGAGACACAGATCACTTGAATTTTAGTGGTGGAGACAGGCGGATATATGTTGTTCTTGTTGGTGTTTGTTTTTCAGACAGTTTCTCTCTTGCTGCCCCGGCTGGAGTGCAATGGCACGATCTCAGCTCACTGCAACCTCCGCCTTCCAGGTTCAAGCAATTCTTCTGCCTCAGCCTCCTGAGTAGCTGGGATTACAGTCACCCGCCACTATGCCTGGCTAATTTTTTGCATTTTTAGTGGAGACAGGGTTTCACCACGTTGGCTAGGCTGGTCTTGAACTCCTGACCTCAGGTGATCTGCCTGCCTTGACCTCCCAAAGTGCTGGGGTTACAGACATGAACCACTGTGCCTGGCTGATACATGTTTTAAAGGAAGAACCTGGAGAACATGCTAATGGATGAGGGAAAGGGAGGAATCAAGGCTGCAGGATTGGTAGGATGGTAGTGGCATTTATGGAGCTAGGGAAAGACTGGGAAAAGATGAGACTGGTAAGATAAATCAAAATTCCTGTTTGGGAAAAGTGAATTTGAGATATCTAGTAGCCATGCCAAGAGAAATGTTTAAAAAAATAGGAAATTGGGCTGGTCGCGTTCTGACTCCTGTAATCCCAGCATTTTGGGAGGGTGAGGCAGGCAGATCACCTGAGGCCAGGAGTTCAAGACCAGCCTGGGCAACACAGTGAAACCCCATCTCTACTAAAATTACAAATATTAGTCAGGCATGGTGGCACATGCCTGTAATCTCAGCTACTTGGGAGGCTGAGACAGGAGAATTGCTTGAACCCAGCAGGTGGAGGTTGTGGTGAGCTGAGATTGCACCACTGCACTGCAGCCTGGGTGACAGAGCAAAAAAAAAAGAAAACAAAATTGTACAAATCTGAAGCTGGAGACAAAAATTTTGGAGGCAAAAGCATATACATACATAGTATTTAAAGTCA